AGAAGAAGAAGAAGAAGAAGAAGGAAGAACTATGGTCGGTGGAGGGAATCCCCACGGGAGTGCAGCGGGCCTCACTAACTCAAAGAACAACACCAGCAACAGCAATAACAACATCAGCAACAGTATTAACACCAACACCAATCTCCTCCGTCCTGCGGTGCTTGGCCTAAAGCTCGATACTCCCACTGTGAGTGGTGAACCCCACGAGGCATCTCAACATCACCGTGCGAAGACTGTGCAGGAGATTGTGGATGCGGAAGATAAAGAGGCCGATGTGGCCGTCGTTGGCCGCTGCTGCACTACCATCTTTCTCCCAATTCTCTTGTTTATACTTGTCGCTGGTACCTTTGTGGATGTTGTCTACACAAGCGGTGGATCCCCAGAGGTGGCGGGAGTCCCACGGGCGGTTCTCTTCATTGTGGAGGGATTTAAAGGCACAACATTCACTTCACTGTTAGAACAACAACGACTCCCACACCTGCGACGGATGCTGGCGGAACAGCAGGGTATATATGCAATCTGTACAACGGTAGAAGATGCCCGTTGTGCTCGTGCGGCTGTAGTGGAAGATGATACCACTGGGGAATCCTACATCTCTGCAGCGGCGGGAATGGCAAATATTCTCACAGGTGTTTCTCCACATCGTCATCGTGTTCGGAATGACTCATCCAATGCATTTAATATCTTTACAGAGACATCTACACAGTTTCCAAGTGTTGCGATGCGAGCGACAAAGGCGGGTTTGCGGGTTTTGGGACTCGGCGGCTCACACTTATTGAATGGACTCGTGCCAACAACAGGACAATGTGGAGAAGTGGGTATTTTAGATGCCGAGTGTGCGGCTGCAGGATCATCAACATCTACACCCAATAAAGTGAACGGAGAGACGACACCGTTATCAGGATTTCATTTCAATAATAATAATAATAACGATAATAATAATAATAATAACCCTACAACAGCTACAAGAAGAGAAAAAAGTGATGAGAGAAGTGAAGGAGGTGTATCATCCATGATGAGTTGTCTCCATCAGCGTTCATGCAATTTGTTTCAACGTATTCTCACACTTAGTGGTGGTCGTGATGGAAAGGAAGAACGAGTATTCACAGAACAACTATTGGATATCTTTGGTGGTCTCTTCAGTGAGGAACATGAAGGTTCGGGTGGAAATAATAACTTTGATAACAGTCTTCTTATATTCCATTTTAACGCACTCGCACGACGAACAGAAGATCCTGAGTTGCCGGAATTCACTTACGACAAGGATTCCCTTGAATACGCCGCCCAGGCATTTCTGATTGACAGTCTTATTGGACAAGTCCTCACATTTATTCGTGATCGTGCCTATGCGAAGAAGGAGAATTGGCTTGTAGTTGGCACTAGTGATCACGGCGGTGTGGGAAAGTCCTTTGGTCATTCCGGTGATGAAGATGAGGTGGTGCCTTTCTTTGTCGCTACCTATACTTCCAACAGCCGTGGATACATAAAACTAAAGCCTCTTCTACGGCCCGCCACGCATATGGATACAACTCCAACGATATTGAAATGGCTTGGACTCCCACCATACGAGGAACAAGAAGAAGAAGAAGAAGAGGAAAAGAGAGAGAAGGAGTACGTGGCTGAAGGAGGAATCTCTGGAGGTGTGAATAGCGATAGGAAGAGTAGGCAATATAGTAATGATAATAACAATGCGAGGATGGGAAGTACACAACCGGTTTCAACTACATCTTTGGCTTCTACGGTATTATTAGATGGTCGACCACAGGCGATTTGTGGTTCCGGACTGCGACCACGGGATTGCCCAGAAGAGAAATGAGTGGTGTGTTTAGTTTGGTTTAGTGTCACTTTTTGATAAGTAATAAGAAGTATCTTAACAATATTAAGACAACTCTTTCTCTATCTCTCTCTTTCTCTCTCTTTCTCTCTCTCTCTCTGTGTGTGTGTGTATTCCATTCGATTTAACCCATCTTTTTCTCTCTCTCTCTCTCTCTCTTGTGAGATAAGGAAAGGGAGATGGGCAAAGAATTAAACGAGAAGAAAAAAAAAAGAATAAAAGAAAGAAGCGTGAAATGGTGTAGTGTAGATGATGATGATAGAGAAGAAGAAGAAAAAGGGTACGAATGATTGATTTTCTTATTTGGTAATCATGATCGTGTTAAATGATAACGTCCGAAATTTATATATTTATATATTTGAGCTTCGAAATATAGCGACTCCATCAAAGAAAAAAAAACAGAACAGATGAAATGAATTCAGTAAAAAGACAAAACAAATAAAAAAAAAAGGAGAAGGAAGTACTTGATAACGTGATCCCTCTCAACGTTCTCCAGATCTTTATTTTATTCTACATGAAATAGAAACTACCTACTACTACTATTACTATTGTTACTATTACTGCTTTTTCGTTTTTCTTTTCTTTTCTTTTTCTTTCTTTTATTTTCTTCTTTAACGATAATATAATTACACATGACTCTCTCGGTTCCTCTTCTGTGAAAGTTGATTTATTTCTTACGGGAGTTGTGTGTTAGACGACAAAAATCACTATTGCTACTTACACACATACACGTGCATCATCAAATATCGAGAGAATTAATAAAGAAAAACAAAGGAGAAGTAAATAGAAGAACAGAGAGAGAAAAAAAGAAAACTAAAAGAAAAAAAAAGAAAACAGTCGAAGAAAAAAAAAAAAAAAGAACAAGTCTGAAGATAAAAAAGAAAAGAAATAACAAGGATCAAAACACATAAACTCACAGACACCCAAACGGATATCTATCTTTCTATCTATACATATATATATATAGACACACCCACACACCCATATATACATATATATACAGGGTAAATGAACCAGCAAGACTATAATAACAACTATAGTAATAATCCTCATGGAGGAATAACAACGGCTGAGGTCTTGGACCGCGCAATGGATCAATGTATGCAGCGAGGTCTCTTCGACACCGCATCCTTTCTAGGTCAAATTGCCCTGGACGCTACAGAGAGTGTTCTGCGGGAAACTATTCCACTAACTTCATCTGTAGTCTCAGCGGTGCAGGATCCACCACTCACAGGAAGGGCCCATCGACACCATGTTGTTGCCCTTTCCCTTATGCAGAAGGGAGAGTATTTACGATGTCATCATCAACTCAAGAATGCACTGCAGGAGTATACATCCGAGACGGAAGTTTTCATGGAGGAACATGAGGGACAAATGAAGGATCAACCATTACTATCACGTAGAAGTGGTCGATCTACAACTTCACAGATACAACAACAACAACAACAAGAACAAGAACAATCAAATTCCTCTCTACTAGTTCCACCACCACAGCTTCAGTTCTTGTGTCTCTACTCATTATATATGGGAGGGGAATGTATTAAGAGTACAAGTAGCAATCCACGAAAAAGCAGTAATCCACATTTACGTATGTTGCGTGGGATGTTACTTACAGCACTTGAACAGCAAAGAAGTTCCTCTGTTACCCCATCAGGATCTGTGCGATCAACAACAAAATCGGTACCACATTCATCATCTACATTAGGAAGTAGTGGAATGAAAAATATATCATCATATGGAGATCCTTTTCTATGTTGGCTACATGGTGTTGTTTTACGTGAATTAGGTATGAAACAAGAGAGTGCTACTTATTTTCTTGCAGCACTTTGTAATCATCCTATGCTTTGGTGTGCCTGGGAAGATCTCTGTTCACTTGTTAGTAGAGAAAATCAAATTGAAGAGATTGAAGCTATGATAGCTACTCTAGAACCTAGATTTATGCCGGAAATATTTTTAGCATCTGTAAAAGCTGCATTAAATGTAGCCCCTTTATCATTTGTACAACCTTCTTCTACAAATGTTGATACAGGATCTACCATTAATACAGTTAATGCTACGCCTACTACTACTACTACTACTACTACTACTACTACTACTACTACTACAAATATAAATACAATGGATATCACAAGACAACGAAGTACAAGTCCTTCTCCACAACCGAGGGCTACACACGAGTGTCTCTATGTCCATAACCAACAGCAACAACAACAACAACAACAACGACGTGGTGAGGGTGGTGCTTCTCCACGATTAGTAAATTCGTGGGAATTGCTTTTAGAACAGTTTCCCAATAATTTATTTCTTCTTTCTAGCCTTGCTGGATACCATTATAACGTAAAGAAAGACCTTGAAAAAGCACAGAGTTTCTATAAACGATTACATGAGATGAATCCATATCGACTTGAATCTATGGATGATTACTCTATAGTTTTATTTCTTCGTGGTGATCGTATTGGTCTAAGTAGTCTTGCACAACAAGTTTACCATGTAGATCCATTCCGAGCTGAAAGTAATTATGTTGTTGGAAATTATTACGTACTTATGGGAGCTCATGATCGTGGAGTATTACACTTCCGTCGTGCTGTAGCGGCAAATCCAACATTTCTTGCTGCATGGACACTATTAGGACATGCATACCTTGAAACTAAAAACAGTGCCGCAGCCGTAGAGGCATACCGAATTGCTGTGGACCTTGACCCACGAGATTATCGTGGATGGTATAATCTTGGTCAAGTATATGAACTTTTACAGTTTTATCATCATGCATTATACTACTATTGGCAAACGACTACATTACGTCCTACAGATCCACGTATGTGGTCTGCTGTGGCGAATTGCCTTGATCGTGAAGGGCGTACAAGTGAGGCGATACTCTGTCTGGAACGTGCAGAGGTGTGTGAGAGTCCAAGCTCAGACTTTTATCCTCCACTTGTCCGTCGACTTGGTTTACATTACTTAAGTGTACGTAAGACAGAACGTGCGGTGACGTTCTTGGAGAAACTCGCCACCTGTGAATCCAAAAAACGGGATGATGTGTTATTAGCCGTACCGCACATTGTACCTTATTACCTACAACAGGCAAAACAATTGCTAGATGTTCCCTCTCGTTCACCTAGTTATGATCCATCACCGCATTTTTCATCCATGGGAGGAGGAGGAGGAGGAGGAGGGAGATCGTTGCCAACAGGATCAGGCGGTGTTGGTCTAAGCAGTAATAGTAATAGTTGTTGTCGGAGTAGTTTAGCAGATCAATGGATCGTTGCTGATCCCGCGGGTCGGCGAAACATAGAGGCCCGCTGGGAACAGGCCGCCGCATGTCTCTCCGCCACTGAAGGCCACTTGGAGAACTTCGCCACCGCGCTGGGATTTCAAACCGCCGCCGCCGCTGCGGAGAGCGGCTCGAGTAAACCGACGGAGTACGGCACGAGAGGAAGTGGGATGGGCGACGAGGGTCGCAACTCCCACACGGCGCAGCTCGCACGTTATTATCGTGAGTGGAAGGCCGTACGGCAGTACTTGACCGCACAGCAGCAGCAGGTGGAGACGACTATGCGTATGAAGGAGACAAGGCGAAAGGAGTAAAAAAAGAAAAAAAAAA